AGCCCATTTTGGATCCAAAAGAGGAAGCGAGCGGAAAATCCACTGCGCCACTCGTCGAAAGGCCCAGTTGTTAGGAACCTCTGGGTCTAAGTAACCCACAACTCTTGAGTTTCACCGAGCTATGGTTCAAGATCAAACCAGGGGACCGCAGGGTTGAGTCCTGGCGTCCATTTCCCAGATTCCCATTTTGGAGATCTTTTTTGACTGACCCACAGTGAAATGAAGCCAACAGGTGATGGGTAATGTTTGTAGCCCCTATTTGGCACCCGGTTTTTGCTGATCCGCCTTTGGCTGTACACGGGTCCAAGCATACATGTTAGGCTTTAAAGCGGGATCCCCAGTCGGCTGCCAAGCATGGCTACAATTCACTTGTCCCTGCTGCTAGCTGAGACTGCTTTGGGGAAACCGGAAACCCGCTGTGGTTCAAAAGAAAAACCCGGGTCCCAAATGCTTTTCGGCCCCTGCAGATTTTGGACTTGGTTGAAAAGGCAGTCGTTGATTCCGCTTGGCCTTTCTGCCCGGGTGGGTGAAATGAGATGGTGTCGAGCAACTCACTTGCCCAAAGCAGACCTTCTGACCTTGAAGTTTTCCCTGTTTGGTCCATTTTAGTTTTTAGGCAAGGGGCCCAAAAGGTAAGGCTTTAGTTCGAGGTCCTTTGGTGCACTCAGCAAGTGAGGGGAACGGGAACAGTCAGGGGAAAAGGCCGCCAAAGCCAGGGGAACAGCCAGGGGAAGTGTCCACAACCTTTGCATTTCGGAGGTGCTTTGGCGCTGGGTTTTCATTCTCGGCCCCCGGAAACGACTTGAGGCCGCCGGTCGCAGACGGTTCCGAGCGCTTGGACTCCACGAGTTTTCCGCCGGTCTCACGCGAGGACCCGTGGGTCCCCCCCCCCAACAGCCCAGCAGTGGCGTCGGTGTTCCTTGCATTTTCCTTGGAGCCACCCCGGGAGAAAGGGTTCCTTCAAACAACAAAGACACAAATGGTTTCAGGTAGCAAGGCCGGAAAAAACGCGCAAGCCAAAAGACATGGTGTCAGGTGAGTTGTTGGGAGGTTTTTCAGTTGCATGTGTGGCTGCCCCCCCCTCCCCGAGAACAAAAAACACAAAAAAAACGCATCCAACTGGCCCCCGGGAATCGGATCGATCGCCCCCCAGAACCAAAATTACAAGTCAACCTGTTGCAATTTCTGTGGCCAGGATGCAACTTCCGACATATGGGCCCGTGACCATGTTTGGCTGCTTTTTTCTGGACCTTGGAGGTGCCTTTTTTGTTCCCATGTTCCTCTTGCCATGAGCTAACTTGGCTTCAAAGCGAGACCCTACCCCCATTCTACATTTGGTATATCTCCTCTTGGTGGTTCCCATCCTGTTCCTAGGCTTTTAGTTGTTTTAGTGGGTTTAGTGGTGGGTGTTCCATTTAACCCACTCAAAGTGAGGAACTTTTGGTAGGGGATCTGAGGCCAGCCCAGTCCTCTTTTCTTTCGGCCCATGAGTTCTCCTGGGTGATGTTTCAGGAGCCTCGTTCAGGAAGCCCCTCTGGCCTTCGCAGGAATCCATCCTGAAGCGCATCTACTTGAAGCGCACCCCGGTGCTGCGGATGGTGATGAACAGGCACCGCAGTTTTCACGCGTTGACTTTGCCGTCTTGACGAGGGCGCCCCTCCTTTTGGTTTCCCTTTAAAACATGTCTAAACCATTCAACAAGGGTACCCTCACAAAGAACAATTGGCAAGTCCCGACTTGCAATTCGATCCTCACGCCTGAAGTTCAGTTGCCCTTTGATTTCCAGGTCCTTTGGACCACGGAGACAAACTGTTTATAAGACGACTTGGGTTTGGGATGAGAATGCGCCCTGGATGCCCCCTGGAGAAGTGAGTTACTCCTTATGCCAGATGGTGCTGGTTTCCATTGGTGCTTTGAGTGCTGGCCTGTCTGGTCGGCTCAGGTGGTGGGAGGCGTGCTTGTCCAAGGGCATGCAAGACCTGAGGCACGCTGACACCGAAGTTTCCTCGTACTTAGTTGCAGTTGCATTTGTAGCTGAATTTGTTGTTGCGGCAGCAGGGTGGTTAGTTTGGTTAGTTGGTTGGTTGGTTGGTTGGTTGGTTGGTTGGGTTTGGTTGGTTTGGTTTGGTTTGGTTTGGTTTGGTTTGGTTTGGTTTGGTTTGGTTTGGTTGGTTGGTTGGTTGGTTGGCTGGGTTGGGTTGGGTTGGGTTGGGTTGGTTGTTCTGGTTGGTCTGGTTGGTTGGTCTGCTTGGTCTGGTTGGTCTGGTGGGTGGATGGTGTGGGTTGGGTTGGGTTTGGGTTGGGTTGGGTTGGGTTGGGTGGGTCGGGTTGGTTGGTTTGGTTGGTTGGTTTGTGTGTTTGTGTTCTTGTGGTTGGTTGTTTGGTCATTGGTTTGTTTTTGTGTGGTTCCTTGTGTTGATTCGTTGGTAGATTGTTTGGCTTGTTGTGTGTTGGTGTCAGTCATTTGTGTTGCTTCGCAGAAATACAACAGCTGTTACCAATTGCAGCATCAATGCCCGATGCCTGTGTCAAGTCTCATGTTTGTTTCTGCCAGATCAACCACCCTTCAGACCAGTTGAGGCAGATTCGAACGTGTTTTTGTTGGACTTCTCGCTGTGGAATCTGGCCCTCTTAGCCTGGCGCTTTGGACTTGTTTGTTTTTTGTTTGTTTGAAACCAAGGGGGGCCAATGCAGCAGCCAAGTAGTTGACGTCAAAGGCCTGGAACTTCCTGTCCCCCATCTTGCTTTTGAGTCAGTGTTCAATGTCAGGGGCGTTGAGGCATGACAGGATGATGGGCTTGTTGTGGCTGTGGGTCAACATAGGTACCCAAAATTGAACCCTGGTAAGTGGAAACATGGACTAAAACCTGTGGTCCCCTGGTGGTTTAATTTGGACCCAGACCCTTGTGAACCCCATAACATCTGAACAGCTATCAAGAGAAAGGCGTGACCCAGCAACTCTAAAAGTCCCCGGTGGGCTCTCAGCTCTCGAGTCGAGGCTTCCTTCTCCACAGAGGCGGGGGGCTGGACGGCGATGGGCGTTTGGCACACTGCCAACATGGGACCCAAAACCGTTTTTGGTTCGTGTGCAGGGGGCCTGAAAACAAGATCTGGCCTTAGAAGTGGAATCTGCCTTCCAAGTTCTAAGCTGGCACGGCCTTTGCAAGCTCAAATTTGAAAAGAGTTGTGAGTGGGGGCTCAGGCCAGGCCACGACTTTTCCCTGGCTGAGACTGCTCAACCGATTTGGGGATCGGGATGTTGCGAGGGTGTGAAAGAGGGAGAGGGGCAAATCCGCTTGTTTTGGCTGTCGCTTCCCTACTGTGGATAGACGAAATCCATTGCACACCACCCAAGAAACTCTGGAATGATGATTCCCCTGAAAAAGTCCGACAAACATCCATTTCCCGCGGGTTCAAAGTGGCGCAGGATTTCTCCCATCCACAGCATGGAGATTCATCATGCCAGGGTGGCATACTAACCTCTAGCCGGAGTCTCAGTTGGCAGGCGCGCAGCTGAGCCAGAGATGAGGCCGGGCTTGCAACAAGCCGGGGCATGATCCCTGCTTGGTTTGCAATAGTCCATGGAGGAGCTAGGATACATACAGTGCCCGTGCTGACTTGTAGGCATGCAAATGGTCACATGACTTCAGCAGGGCCTAATTTCAACCCTGTCGCGTTTTGAGCAGCCAGTTGTACCATCTATTGAAAGGGAATGGCATATGCTCCCCACAGTGCCGTGGAGCACTGCGCCTTGCTCTTCTGAGTGTTGAGTGTGGCTGACTTGGGTTTAACGGTTCGGGTTGGCGATGGTTGGCGGCCATATGACACAACCACAGGAGGGCCGGACACGAATTCGAAGCTGTGCGGTTGGTGCCCTGGGTCGCCTGAATCGACCATTTTTTAATTTCCCCAACAAATGGAAGCCAAAAGGGGATTGGGCAGTTTTTGTAGTTTGTTCAGGCCCGCCATTTGGCACCGAGGTAAGAAACATTCCCGCCAAACCATGTCATGACGCTCCAAGCCGAACCTTTGCACGTGCCAGGCTGAGCCGAGGTGCTAGCTAAAAGCTAGATATAGGTGATGCACACCGAGCGCCATTCCAATTCAATAAGGAGCCACTTGTCAGCAGACCATTCAGTTCCGCCATCAACGAGAGTGACACCTTTTCGAGCCCCTGCGAAGGGGTGGTGAAAGCTGGGTCCAAAAGTGGAAGTCGATGTGCCAGGCCCCCTTCTCCAGATGCCAAGTCGCCCTCTAGGCTGGGATGGCGTTGGAGGGTACCCTTTTCAGGTTGGTTGAATGGGGAAACCAGAATGAAACCAACACTCTTTTTTTTGGGGGGGGGTCTCCCGAGTTTGACACATGCCCATTTGAGGTTACGGAATTTCCAGTAAGTGCTTGGACAACTTGGGCGTGTGGGACTCACTCAAGGTTTCAAGCGAATCAGTGAATCAGAGGCGAATCAGAGGGACTCATTTGAATTCCTCGTGTCAGGTAACTTCATTTGGTTGTCTCTCTTTTTTTAGGGGACCCTCCAACATGATGGCTTTGCTGCTGATGTCTGCTTGGCTTGGATTTATATAGGCGAGTTTCCCTGCAGTGTTGGCTTGTGTTCTGCAAATGTGTGGAGTTGTCCCGCTGGTTTCTTTGTTGATGAGTGCCGGGTACGCCGGGTACGCCTCGCGCGAGGCCCGCTTCGCCGGACAAGTCTGAGTCTCCCTTGAGGCCGGGCTGCGCGAGTTTGTGGTGACTGGTGCACCTTGCCATTTCGAGCTTGGGTCACTGCGCTCAGGAGTTGAGCCCAGGGTTTAAGACGAACAGCTCTGAAAGCTGAAGACAAGGCTGTTGCAGCCCGCAAGCGAGCGAGTCCGCTATACCAAGAGAATTCCCTTGAGGGACGGCCTACCATCGTCAAACAAATGCGTGTTCCCGACCACTGTGGTTGTGGCACTGATTGGCTGACTTACTAGCGCACAGGCCATGATCTGGTGATGAAGATGTTTTAAGGAAGTAACATGTTTGATTGGCCAACTAGTAGAATTCACCTCGGCAAGTTTGGGGGTTTGCGACGTCACCCATGAAGGTCTCGTGGTCGCACTCCCTTGCGAGACTTTGGCCCATCAACTCTGGAAGTGAGGATGGCGAATGAAGCTGCAACTTTGGAAGGACCAAAACGGAGAATTGAAATGTGTTTGTCCCGAGCGCTCCTCGGGTAGGAACCCGTCCGATGACTATCTTCGACTTGTGAGCTGCAAGTCGCTTGGACCAATTCTGCGGCTGATGGTGATTTCCCGGTTTATTTTCAACAGTCGCTTATTCGGCTTTATGTCATGCAAAGGGATTTGTTGTATGGCCCCTGGGCACGGCAAATAGTATATTACATATATAGTCCTTTGGCATCTGAAGCAAAAGGAAGAAGGGGCCCCACTGAAGAAGCTGTTCTCAGACACGGGTGATCATGGATATCAATATGGGTGTGGCCAAAAATGTGGGGACCATTTTTGGATAGTGATTGACAAAGGCGTAACGCCTGCACCCGCTCCAGAAAAGAAGGGCACAGGTCCCATTTTCTTGGGACCTACTTCCGGCTCTCATTGGCCCAGCTGCGTGTTTCTTGAGGTAGTCGCTTCAATTTGTTGGCTTCCGCCTTGCTTTCCTTCAACTACGGGGGATCCTTGAGAAGGCTTGTTTTCGTAAGGGAGGCCAACGGGAAGATTGCCATTTGGGGGGGGGCCCCCCTAAAGAACACGGAGGTTTTTGTTGCGAAGCCCCCGGGTGATAGGCCCCAAGACGCCCCCAGTCTATGGCCCCGCCTTTCAGCGGGCCTCGCTCGCGAGGGCGCGGCGGCGGCGCGCGGCGTCTTTAGCCGGGGGCCACGGACTGGGCCGGCGTGCAGCTTGCAGGGGGCTCCTTTGGCGAACGTAAGTCCGGGTGAGTGACAAATTCCTGGATCTCACTTCCTGAGTTGGTGGACTTTACACTTTTTGGGAAGACCATTTTAGTGGTAAATAAAAAGTTCAAGCTTTTTTTGGCCAGTAAACTTGGGAAGTGAGGGATCATGGCGTCATGTTCTCATAAAGTGCCCCACATAACCATGTCAACACCGAGGCCCATGTACATGGGTGTGTCTTTTTCCAGGCTACAACATGTTTGGGGTGGGCTGCATTTGAACATTTTGTTTGCTGTGTGCGCCATATGCGGGCCAAGTTCGCGGCGTGGAGGCATTTCGCAATTTGGCGGCGACAAAGAGTGCAGCAAACAGCAGTCATGGGTGTCCTTGTTGGGTTAGTTTGGATAGAAATATATGGGTTCCACTGAACAGAGTGGCTTCATTCAAGTTATCAGGGGCCATCTGTTTTCTCAAACTTCCATTTGCTTAAGAATATGTTATATATTCCCTTGTTGGTTTTAAAGGAAATCTATCACTACTGGAAATATGTTTTTATTATTTCCAGGGGGCTTAAGCAAATGGACGCAACATGGTCAGCCATGACAGCAGTGTCATTCATGTTGTTCCTGAACAGGAATGAGCGCATCGAAATCCAAGGCGTGAACGCTCACTTGAAAACAAAACAAAGTCTGCAGGGTTGATATGCATATCGTAAAAAGGAGACGGACTGCAGGCAAAAAAGAGTTTGCTTTATTTGCATTTCTCTATTTCTCTGTCTCTCTCTCTCTCTCTCTCTCTGTCTCCGCTTCTCTTTCTCCCTATCTTTCGCGTTCTTTCTTTCTCTTTTTATCTCTTTGTTTCTCTCTTTCTTTCTTTTTTCTTTCTTTCTTTCTTTCTTTCTTTCTTTCTTTTCTTTCTTTCTTTCTTTCTTTCCTTCCTTCCTTCCTTCCTTCCTTCCTTCCTTCCTTTCTGTTGGTTCGTTCTTTCTTTATTTATGTTTTTATTTATGTCTTTCTTTCTTTCTTTCTTTATTTCTTTCTTTCTTTCTTTCTTTCTTTCTTTACTTATTTCTGTTTCTTTTTTACAGTATTTATTTCTTCCTTCATGCCCTTTCTGTCATGGTGTATTTCGTTCGTTCTTCCCTTTGTTGTTTGTTATTGATTTCTTTCTTCGTCTCTTTCTCACTCTCTCTCTCTCTCTCTCTCTCTCTCTCCCGCTTCACTTGTTCCGTTCCAGATTGAGCGTGCGGCCTTCCAGCCGACGAATCCCGCAGGTTCAAAGACATCGGCCGCTTGGGGGAGGGGTGTTGTTTCCGGACGCAAAAAAACGCACAACCACAGCACTTGCCATGTGTTTTTTCCGGCTTGAGTCCCGCGTTTCTCCGGGCAAAGCAGAATCTTGTTTTCGTTCCCCCGTTTGGTAGAGACTGATTTTGGCAAAACGGTTTCCGTATTTCTTTGGTGCCCTTTGACCACAAATCCGGGCACCAAAGCGCCCTTTGGCCTCGAAAACCGACGCGGATAGATACGGGACACACCCAGGCCCGGTTGCTGGAGGAGGCAGAGGCTGCGGCGCACGAGGCGTTGTTTTTGTTTTCTTCCGAAAAAAGTTGGGTCCGGTCTGGGTGTAATCTCGGTCCCCCAGTAGTGCGCTTTTACCAACTTTTTCGGTTGGGAGGGTCCCTTTTGGTTTGGATGTGGATTTGACCCCCTTGTTCTTGGGGTTTAGGTGCGGTTTCCCACAAGACCACCGGGCTCCAAACCAATTGGAGACAGCTGCCTTCCATTTGCTGAATTGAATATGCTTTATTTTCCCCTGTTGGTTTTAAAGGGAATGTATCACTACTGAAAATATGTGTTATATATTGTTAAAGGGGGTTTCAGCAAATGGAAGTGGGATGAAGTGGGTGTTTTGGTTGCTCTGGGCCAGCGACAAATTGGTTGGGGGTTTGTGGGTTTACAGGGCTTCTAGGAGGGGGTTGATATTTATTAAGTTTATAAGGTTTACAGGGCTTCTACTGCAAGGGGATGTGGTAAGGCTTCAAGAAGCCGAAAGCTGCAACATGCTGCAACCAAGTCTGGCAAACTGGTAGGTGCCTTAGTTGCTTTGGGCCCGGGTGGTTTGGGGAGTTGGATTTGAGCGGGTCCCTGGCTGTGGTAGAGGGTAATGGGAAACTACCCCACAGCAAACCACTGGGCTCCAAACCACCAGTTAGAGGGAAACTGATTGAGCCCGGTTCAATAAACCCGTCTTGGTGACACCTGCTTGGTTCTTTGGCCTTTTTTTAATGGAACTGATTGCAAAAGTTGTAGTATGATGGTTGCCCGTCATATTAACAGGCTGGTGGGTGTTTCTCCGAAAGTCTGACTCCCCGCGAAACCCAGAAAAAAACCCATTAGCAAACGGTTGATTAATCGGGGGTTGACGATTTAGAACATGGGGTTGTCTCGAAAAAGTAGGGCCCCTAAAAAGGCACGTGTTACGGGTATTTCCTAAACGGGTGAACCCTAAACAATAGAAAACTGAGGTCTCCTCCAAATATGAATCAGAGTCACAAAACATAAGTTTCTGTGCCCCAGATGCGGGACCAAGGCATCAGTTGCATTTCAGGTTCTGTCTTGCAAGCCTATTGGTAATCAAGCATCCGAGTTGTTCAACCGTTGGATGAAAACAGATGGCACAATTCCAACTCACCTTGGCTTGCCCGCCTGAAGGGCATAGAAGCCAACTACAAGGGGAAAGCACCAAAGGAAACCAAGGAAAAGCCAAGTCTGCTAAGGTAAAAGGGGGAGGTTCTCACACTCAACCCCTTTTGGCCGGTTTCAAAGGGAAGCCAGCAGGAACCCATTACCCCAAGAAATATCCAATTCTATTGGATTGTTCGGAGAAATATGGCCGACAAGGGTTGCTTCTGCTGCCCATGCGCGACACGGTCCGTTTTTTGGGCTTTGGCAGCACATTCCCCCAGCATTCCTGCAGGCGGCGCCTGCAAAGAAGGTCAGCGAACTCAGGGGAATGTGCTGGATGCCTTTTCAGGGACACCGAAATTGTGGGTCTTCCATGAAAGGAAGACAGCCATAGAATGTTGGTGGGAGGATGCAAGGCGCGCGACAAGGGCACCTAGGGGCCAACAAATGTTTAAAAACCCAAAAGGTGATCACCCTAGATGTTCCTCGAGCTTCAATGGATTGAGCGTAGGTGTCCTTTTCAGATTAGTTTGGTTAAAACAGAAGGCACTGGTTTAGATGGGTTTTCTTCAATGTACCCATCTGTTTCCAAAAGGACACCTATGGGCCTGAGGTGCGCCGTTCTTTTGGCCAAAGACTGGCCCGGCCAAGGCGCCTTTGCGAGAAAGACAGCTGGAGGAGAACCTCAGGCACGGATCCGATGGGCTTGGGGATCTGGGGATCTGGGGATGGATCTGGGGGTCCGGTCATGGCGCAGGCTTCCAGAAATCGTGGCTGGCATTTGCTGGGTACTGGGGTGTTCCCCCGAAAAAATGCGGGCACACTTTGGCCTCTGCCCAAAGCGAATCGACCCTTCCACCTTTTGGTTTTGCAAGTTTGGTCCATATGTCGTCAAGGTCCCAAAAGGTCAACCTTTGACTTCCAGATCCCTTGTGGTTGGAAGATCGTGTGTCAGAAACTTCCAGCACCGACTCACCTGAAGACCAGGACCCTCGGAAGCAATCTGGATGCCTGTCAGAAAGCTGCTGCCTTGACAGAGGAAGAGCAAGAAAAACGAAGGGCAAGTGGGTTGAACATAGCGCAGGCGTTGGAGAAGAGAACGCGAAACTCAAATGACACGCCCTGAAACTCGGTGTTCTAATTTGGGTGTGCTTTGGTTGGTTTCCATTTTGGCCTCCTTTAAGCCAAGCCCAAGACGCCCTAGAAAGTCACCCATTTGTAGCTCGCCAGCTGTTGGGCAAACAGGTTCCCGGCAATTAGGGAAGTAATGCTAACCTTGCGATGGCCTCCAGCAGCCGCGCGCGCCAACTTGGCAAGTGTCAAGCAATGTCTTAAGGAAAAGTTTCCTGGACGCGTCGGAACAGTCTGGGGATTGAGTTGTCTTTGTTTAGAAATTTCCTGAACGTGTCAGAGCAATCTCGGAATTGAGTTGTTTTTTTGTTTAGAAGCGGTACCCTTTTCGGGTTGGTCGGAGAGGGAACTTGGTTTTACAGGGAAGCCAAAAGGAACACCTGGCGCCATTTATGGCTGCTGAATTTTCTGTTCTGACGCGAAAACAATCTTGTTGGCCCGGCTTCAAGCCCTACACGGTCAACGGCGCAAGGACTTCTGGCTGAGTTCTCTTCCGGTCGGAGGACTTTTAAAAGCCCGAAGTCGGGCAAAGGTTTTGGGACGGCCTTTGCTTGCTGGTGCGATAGGGGATGAGAAATGGAATGACCCCCATAAACCGTCCCAGGTGGTTTCCTTTAAGGGGACCCCGGGTTCATTCCCTCATTCCCAGCCTATCGCACCAGCAAGTGTTGGAAGCCCCGAAGTCCCCAACGGACATTGCTCGCAGTTCTTGTCTCGTTTCATTTCCGCTTTCAGGGCATTGGTGACTTTTGAAACCCGCTGCACGGATTTGTTGGAAAGGAGTGCTGTCTTGCAGACCACATGGATAACACGACTAATTGCCAACTCGTCTGAGCAGCCGATCGAGAATTTGGCCCCACCATGAGACCTCATTTCCCTCGAATGCTTCCTTGAGGAATCCGTCAATACCAAAACAAGACGCACCCAGACGTGAGAAAGCTCGCGAGCTAAACGAACACAAGCTTCACACAAAAATATGTGCCCTCCCAACGGACATTGACATACAAGTATCCACACCCCCTACAAAAAGGAATTGGGTGACCACTGGAATTCCATGTATGGCTCCATTTTCCCCATCCCCCTCCCTTTTAAGGTAGGGGGGATATACAAATTTACGCACTGGGACCCTAACGCTTCTTGCCTGGGTCCTGCTCTCCCTTCAAACCATCATGTGGTCATTTTGAGGCTCATGACTCAAATGCACAAATCACCAGTGACCAGTTTTGTTTTCAAGTTGCCTTCTCAGTTGGGTTTTAGGGGAAACCACAAGGAAGCCACTCATCTATCACTACTGGAAACTTTTTTTCGTTTTCCAGGGGTAAAAAAACCAAATGGAAGTTACGATCCTTTCGGAAAGGTGGGGATCCACGTGGTCGCGCGTTTTCCAGGTGGGGGGATGAGACTTGGATGCTCGCCCGGGCCTCCGGGCGGATGGGCCTGAACTCCAAAACCCATCACCTGAAAATGCCCTTCAGAAATTCTCATCCTGAAGCCTGGGGGTAGGGCCCATGTTCTGTTTGTCTGATGGCTTCTGGGAGCAGTCCAGCCTTGGAGCCTGAGGATCCGTCCTTAAAAGCCACGAGGTCCAGTGCCCGACCTCTCACCCGTTTCTTTTTGGGTGAGGGTTCCCCTGAGATAGACTGCAGGAAAAGGAAACGGTTCCCTTATTCTAACCTCTCTACTGGAGGACCTAGCTCTTAAAATATGTTTGGAAGAGGAAAAGAAGACCTAACCTCAGCTGCTGTGACCTCGAATCGACCTTTTGACCATTTGGTTTCTACGTCTTGGTTCATGTTGAGTAAAGGTTCCAGAAGGTTAAGCTTCTATTTTCAGGTCGTTTGGGCATCTCTCGGGGCCGTGGCCGCCCAAGGCAATCCTGCGAAATGTTCCCGCCCCCTTCTGTATAGTGGGTATCAATCAGTTAGCACACGGCATTCCAACGTTGAGTGCTAACTGTTTGGGCGCTTGCGCAGCGTTTTTTTCGCAAGCCGTGGTTGAGGCCCAACAGTTAGCACTCCAACTAGTCTGGCAGTCGGATTGTTCAAGGTCTTTGAAATAAGGCTTGGCATCAAAATAGCTTTACATGGGCATTGGAAGGAAGGACGGAAGGAAGCACGGAAGCACGGAAGCGAAGGAAGCGAAGGAAGCAAAGGAAAGGAAGGAAGGAAGGAAGGAAGGAAGCAAGGAAGCAAGGAAGCAAGGAAGCAAGGAAGCAAGGAAGCAAGGAAGCAAGGAAGCAAGGAAGCAAGGAAGCAAGGAAGCAAGGAAGCAAGGAAGCAAGGAAGCAAGGAAGCAAGGGAAGCAAGGGAAGCAAGGGAAGCAAGGGAAGCAAGGGAAGCAAAGCAAAGCAAAAGCAAAAGCAAAGGAAGCAAAGGAAGCAAAGGAAGCAAAGGAAGCAAAGGAAGCAAAAGACGCCAAAGACGCAAAGGAAGCAAAGGAAGCAAAGGAAGCAAAAGAAACAAAGGAAGCAAAGGAAGCAAAGGAAAGGAAGGAAGGAAGGAAGGAAGGAAGGAAGGAAGGAAGGCAGGACGAGACTCAGAGCTGCGCAGGGTGCTGCAGAGTTGCGCAGGGTGCTGTTGCAGGTTGCCATGCCAGAATCATCATTACTTCGAAACATCCTGGGGGGGGGGTGCCGCAGTTGCGCCGTTGGCACCTAAGGGAGAAGCGCGCCCTTCGCCGAATAATGGGGGTGCATGCCACGCACTAAAACTGCTGCGTTGCCATTTCAGTGAAGGGCAAAGACTGTAGTTAGGAGGAGCGCGTTGGCAAGCGTGATGATCCGAAGAGTCCTGGCTGACACCAGCTGAGAAGGCGCTAGGGTCTGGCGTGTGCTAACTGTAAGTCAGAGGTTTGGCCGTATGTTGGGCCTTACAAGTTCAGCCTGAGCGGATTCTTGAAGCTTGCTTAGCCTGAGCGGAAGCCCAAGTGCGTTTGCGCTTGCGTTCGCACATGCCTGTGCGTGGCATCCGCGTTTCACCCGAGCGGGATCCTGAAAGTTTTAAGTTTGCCCGCCAAGGCCCCTTCGCGTGGCATCCGTAGCCGGCCCGAGCGGGATCCCGAGCTGGCTAGCGAGCCTGGCCGTTTTGGTCCTTTCAGCCGCCTGCGCGTTGCATTCCGAGTGGACTCCCGAGCGTCGCGATTCTTCTCGCTGTCGCAAGGTGGTGGCGAGGTAGCGGATCTTTCAGGACTGATGCGCTTGGCCCGAGCGGGATCCCGAGCGAGTCTGCTTGGCAAAAAAACTGTAGGAGAAGCGCGTTGGCAAGCGTGATGCGAACACTCCTGGCTGACACGGCCAAAGGAGGCGCAAGCGGGTCTGGCGTGTGCTAACTGTATGCTTCGGCAAGAGGGTCTGACGCCTTTGCGTGGCACCCGTGCTCGCCCCGAGTGGGATCCCGAGCGGGCTAGCGAGCCTGGCCGTTTTGTTCCTTTCAGCCGCCTGCGAGTTGCATCCATAGTAGTTGGCCCGAGTGGTCCTTATCTGCGCCTTCCCGCGGCGCACGTGTTTGGCCCGAGCAGGATCCCGACTGTGTCTGCTTTTGGTCCTCACCAGCGCCTTTGCGCAGCGTCTGTGCTCGGCCCGAGCAGGATCCCAAGCCCCTCTGCGCGGCAAAACTTCGAGCGTGTTTGTGGGCTTTCAAGAGTAAAACCAGAGCACGGTGTTTTTCAGGATGATGGACTTGTCTTTTCTCGCGGGTAGAGCTTCCACACTGTGTCCTAGCCCAGCTTGAGTTTGGGACGGTAATGCGTTTGCGTTTGCGCGCAACATGATGCAACACTCGGACGAAGCAATTCTTCATAATGTCAGTCGTTTTACTATGGGCGCGCTTTCAAGTCGCAGGAGGCATTGCTTTAGCGGTGGAGAAGCAGGCTTGTAGGGGTGCAGTTGCCAGGCTTTTAGGGGCTCGTTGCTTGTGAATCCCCAAGCCAAATTCAATTATCAAGACGCCATTGCAGGAAACGGCAAATATTGTAGGAGAAGCGCGCTGGCAAGCGTGATGCGAAGAGTCCTGGCTGACACGGCCAAGCGAGGTGCAAGAGGGTCTGGCGTGTGCTAACTGTATGGCTTTCGCAAGAGTGACGCCTTTGCGTGGCATCCGCGTTCGCCCCGAGCGGGATCCCGAGCGGGATCCCGAGCGTGGCTTCGCTTGCCTTTGCAAGGCCCGAGCGGGATCCCGAGCGGGCTAGCGAGCCTGGCCGCTTTGGTCCTTGCAGGCGCCTGCGCGTTGCAGTAAACTCTCGAGCGTGACGGTGTTGGTCCTTATCTGCGCCTTGGCACGGGTGTGGCCCGAGCGGGATCCCGAGCGTGGTTGCTTTGGTCCTTGCAGCGCCTTTGCGCGGCATCTGTGCTCGGCCCGAGCGGGATCCCAAGCCTGTTTGCGGGCGCGGCCCCGGCAAAACTTCGAGCGTATTTGTGGGCTTTGAAGCGTAAAATCAGAGCACGGTGCTTCGTCTGTTTCTTGCGGGCAAAGCTTTTACACGGGCCCAACTGTCCGCTGCGATAATGCGATTGCGTTTGGATGCAACATGATGCAACACTCGGACAACGCGAGCTTCTTGATGATGTCGTTGATGTGTGCTACGGGCGTCCTTTCAAGTCGCAAGAAGCACTGCTTCAGGGGTGGAGTTGCCAGGCTTTTATAGGGGCCCGTTGTTTGTGAATCCCAAAGCCAAATTCAATTGTCAAGACAGCGATCGCAGTAGAGAAGCGGGTTGGCAGGCGTGATGCAAAGATCCCTGGCTGACACGGCCAAACGAGGCGCAAGAGGGTCTGGCGTGTGCTAACTGTACATGGCTTCCGCAAGAGTGACGCCTTTGCGTGTCAGCCCCGAGCGGGATCCCGAGCGGGATCCCGAGCGTGGCTTCGCTTGCCTTTGCTTTTTCCTTGCGTGGCACCCGTGCTCGCGCCGAGCGGGATCCCGAGCGGGCAGGCGAGCCTGGCCGCTTTGGTCCTTGCAGGCGCCTGCGCGTTGCATCCATAGCTGGCCCGAGTGGACTCCCGAGCGTGACGGTGTTGGTCCTTATCTGCGCCTTGGCACGGGTTTGGCCCGAGCGGGATCCCGAGCGTGTCTGCTTTGGTCCTTACCAGCGCCTTTGTGCGGCATCTGTGCTCGGCCCGAGCGGGACCCCAAGCCTGTTTGCAGGCGCGGCCCCGGCAAAACTTCGAGCGTATTTGTGGGCTTTGACGAGTAAAATCAGAGGACGGTGCTTCTTCAGGATGATGGACTTGTCTTTTTCTTGCGGGTAAAGCCTTTACACGGGCCCAACTGTCCGCTGCGATAATTAATGCGTTTGCGTTTGGATGCAACATGATGCAACACTCGGACAACGCGAGCTTCTTGATGATGTCGTTGATGTTTGCTACGGGCGTCCTTTCAAGTCGCAAGAAGCATTGCTTTAGGGATGGAGTTGCCAGGCTTTTATAGGGGCCCGTTGTTTGTGAATCCCAAAGCCAAATTCAATTGTCAAGACAGCTATTGCAGTAGAGAAGCGGGTTGGCAGGCGTGATGCAAAGAGCCCTGGCTGACACGGCCAAACGAGGCGCAAGAGGGTCTGGCGTGTGCTAACTGTGTTGCTTCCGCAAGAGGGTCTGACGCCTTTGCGTGGCATCCGCGCTCGCCCCGGAACTCCCGAGCGGTGCTTCGCGTGGCATCCGTGCTTGGCCCAAGCGGGATCCCGAGCGGGCTAGCGAGCCTGGCCGTTTTTGTCCTTTCAGCCGCCTGCGCGTTACCAGCGCCTTGCGCGGCGTTGTGCTCGGCCCGGGCGGGGCCTCAAGCCTGTTTGCGGGGGCGGCCCCGGCAAAACTTCGAGCGTATTTGTGGGCTTTCAAGAGTGAAACCAGGGTACGGTGTTTCTTCAGGATTATGGACTTGCAGTTCTCTTGCTGGTAAGGCTTTTACACAGTGTCCTAGCCCAGCTTGAGTTCGGGACTTGATGGCCCAACTGTTCCGCTACGATAATGCATTTGGATTTGGATGCCAAATGGTGCAACACTCGGACAATGCGCGCTTCTTGATAATGTTGTGTTTTGTTCCTACCGCCCTTTCAAGTCGCAGGAAGCATGGCTTTATAGGGGTGGAGTTGTCAGGCTTTTAGGGGTGGAGTTAAGGCTGCCCGTTCTTTTTATTTCCGAAAGCCGAATTCAATTATCAAGACAGCTGGGCTGCCCTTGCAGGAAACGGCAAGTACTGTAGGAGAAGCGCGTTGGCAAGCGTAATGCAAAGAGTCCTGGCTGACACGGCCAAACGAGGTGCAAGAGGGTCTGGCGTGTGCTAACTGTATGGCTTCCGCAAGAGTGACGCCTTTGCGTGGCATCCGCGTTCGCCCCGAGCGGGATCCCGAGCGGGATCCCGAGCGTGGCTTCGCTTGCCTTTGCAAGGCCCGAGCGGGATCCCGAGCGGGCTAGCGAGCCTGGC